GAGTGCAAGGGATCCAGGGTGCTGGGGAGCCCAGGGTGAACGGGGAATCCAGAGTGTGGGAGATCCAAGGTGCTGGTGATCTGGAGTACAGGGGATCCAGGGTGCAAGGGAGCCCAGGTGCAGGGATCCAGAGTGGAGGGGATCCAGGGTGCAGGGTTGTCTGGTGTACAGGGGATCCGGGGTGCAGGGGAGTGGAGGTGTAGGGGATACAGGGTGCGGGAGATCCAGGTAGCAAGAGGATCTGGGGTGCAGGATGCGAGGGTCTGGGCTGCTGTATGCGGGGTGGAGGGGTGGTGAGTGAGAGGGTGTGCAGCCCCCAGGGCTGTCACTGCAGGGGCAGAGGAACTCGGGTCCACAGCCTCGTCCTTGCTCCCGAGCCGGGAATAGCTCAGCTGGGCCATCCCGTGCTTTCAGGCTTAGATAACCATGCCCACGATGTAAACAGCTTCCCTGGAACCGCCTGGCACAGCACGCCTGGCTGGCCTGGCGGGGGGAATGCCGGAGAGAAGAAACAGCTCCATCATCACCCTGTGGGTCGTGCCTGGGGTGGTTGGCTGCGAAAGGGGTGGGTGAGACCAGGGTAAAGAGGAGCAAAGCCCGAGCAGTGCAGGCTCTGAGCCTGGGACAAAGGGCAGCAGGAAGGTGTGCTGTAGGGATCTGTTTGCGTTTGCTGTTCCTGGGCAGAGGTGCCTATTTTGCCCTCGGGAGACAGACTTGACCTGACCTCCCCCAACCCTGCCGGGATGAGCCATCTCACTTTTTGGAGGTTGTTATTTTTGCGTTTCAGCCAGCCTGTGGGTTCATATAAGCAAACATTTCCAAAAGCGGTGGCTGGTCTTTGTTGCCTTGGTTCCTGCCTGTCCAGCCTGTGACAACTCTGTCCCTGACCGGAGAAAAATGTGTGTGGGGAGGATGGAGATGCTGATCTGCTGCAAAATCAGACCTGAAACAGCTGAGAAAGAGGAGCGTCTAAAACTACTTGCCACAGTGGAAAATATGACCTGTGTCCCTTGTTGCTAGGCTGGGGGCTGCCTAGCAAGACCCACCATGGAAGGGATTATTCCTGGGAAGGAATAAAAAGGGACTCAAGTTACTTGGGATGATTAAAGTATAAAACTGGGACTCCTCCTGTCCTGAACCTGGGAGGAACCCTTGCTCCTTTGCTGCTATGTCCCAGCGCAGAAGCTCCTGCATCGGTAGGTGCCGGGGAGCGCTCATTTGTTGTGCTCTATGGCTGGGGGACCAGCCGGCTCCTGCCGCTGAGCAGAGGCAGCTCTGTCCACAGGGCCTGGGCCAGCTGTCGGGAGAGATCCTTGGGACGAGGTGGCTAGATGTGCCCCTGACCTGTGGAGGGGCATGGGGCAAAGGCCTCCCCATGTATCAGCAGGAGCTCTCTCCTCCTGTGCTGTAGCTCATGGCAGCACATTGATGGAGCATGAGGTCATGCAGAACAGGCTGGGCAGCGCAGGCAGTGACTTGAACCGGTGCCCAAGTTTTTCTGCCTCCTGAGGCTGGTCTAAGGGAGCTACAGCATCTTTTCAGAAACCTTCATGTTGCCACCAGTGTGTACCCTACAGATGTGGAGTGTCAGGAAGAGTAGGATTAACTCAAAGGAGCGCTGCTATTAAAAGACTAATGAGTAGGAGCTTAGCAAGCAGTAGCTTAGGCTAATGAGAGCTGTGCTGTTTGTTGTGGGTTGGGGCAGCGAGCCCACACCTCATTAACTTCTACCTTCTCCAGGGCATGCAGGCAATGGGGGGTTATTCCTGGGTCTCCACCTGAGTTCAGCCGTTGCTCTGATTCTTGCAGCATGGCAGAGAAGAGCCTGGCATCAAGGTTGCTGTCCAAGCACTTGGTGAGGAGTTTCTGAGGCTTTCAGCCCAACCTGTGGAAATCTGGCCTAGGTTTATGGAGAGGGTTGCGCTTTACAGCTCCTGGGGCGGAATAAAATGAGGGTGGGAGTTGTTCAGCCTGGGTCTTGCAATCTGATTCAGCGCTGCAATGGGGAGCAGTTGGTGGGTGTGGTGGGTTAACCTCATCTGGTTGCCAGGAGCCCACCCAGATGCACCCTCGCTCCTCATCCTCCGCAGGACAGGAAGGAGAAAAGAAGAAAAAACTGTAGCCTGGGTCCTTCCCATGGGCCGCAGTTCTTCATGAACTGCTCCAGCGTGGGTCCTTTCGATGGGGTACAGCCCATCAGGAACAAACTGCTCCGTTGTGGAGTCCTCCATGGGTTGTAGTGTGGATGTCTCCTCTGGCATGGTCCTCCACAGGGTACAGGGAGACAACCCGCTTCTCCGTGGTCTTCTCCATGGGCTGCAGGGGAAGAGCCTGCTCTGGTGCCTGGAGCACTTCCTTCCCCTCCTTCTTCGCTGACCTTGTTGTCTGCAAAGTTGTTTGTCTCGCATATTTTTACTCCTCTCCCACAGCTGTTGCAGAGCGGTTTTTTTTCTTATCTTACTTATATTATCACAGAGGCAAAACGAATGTCAGTGGGAGGCTCAGCTTTGGGCAGCAGTGGGTCTGTCTGGGGGTTGGCTGTCTCCAGCATGGGGGCAGCTCCTGGTGTCTGCTTGCAGAAACCACCCTTGCAGCCCCCCGTCCCCACCACCTCGCCATATAAATTCGGTACCGTGGGAGATGCTGGAGGTGGATGAACAGATAGGGAAAATGGTGCAGCCCCACCAGTTTCCCAAGGAGACCTGCCTGTGGTCTGGGGCTGCTTCGTGGGTGCTGCTGGGAGGGTGTTGGAGGTCTGGCAGGCATCGTGCAGGGATGGACCCTGTACTCCCTCCTTGCGTGTCTCCGGCATCTGAGAACCAAGGCATACAGGCTCCCCCTACAATGAATTTTTATTTTGGTCCTACGAGTACTAACTTTCATTAGGAAAACTCAGCAGTAGGACCAGCTCAATTCGCTTGAATAATCCTGTCTTCATGCCTGAGCGAGCCTCACCCCCTGCCCCCCACTTCCCAGCAGAGCGGCAGAAACATTTGGTGCACTGAAAACCTGCATTTCCCCTGGCTTTGGCTTGATGTGCAGGCTCTGTTAAACCCATTTTTTAATGTGCTGGGCCATGTTCTGGCCCCTCTCTTATGCTCCTGGTCTCAGCCATCACTTTCTTACGCTGGTGGTCCTGTGCAGGATCCAGCAGCTGGTCCCTGCCAGGTGATCCTCTACCCACAGCACCCACGGGGGAGCAGTTAAGCCACAAGGCATCCGCGGGGCTTTGCTGGATGCCCCCCTGAGGGGTGGCTTGCAGTGACACGTGGCTTTGCTTCCAGGTGACTTCTGTGATGTGAACCACTGTCAGAATGGGGGCACCTGCCTGACTGGGATTAATGAGACCCCCTTCTTCTGCATCTGCCCCGAGGGCTACGTTGGGATTGACTGCAATGAGACAGAGAAAGGTGAGGGGCTGACCCCCTCATGGGTGCACCGTGAAGGCCAGGAGCCTTGCAGTGTGGCAGCATGCTCTCATTGTGCCCCTGCACCGCTGGCCCTGGGGTCCAACCCTGCTGACTGGCACACAGGGCGGAGATCCGAGCAGGGATGCAGTGACCTTTATCACTTGGGGGGAATGCGATGTCTTTGTGTAGCGACAGCCCACTGGATGCTCTTGTTTTCCGCTCGTGCTCATATTACAGCTGTTATTCCCCCTCCTCAGGCCCCTGCCACCCCAATCCTTGCCACAACAATGGCGAGTGCCAGCTGGTCCCGAATCGAGGGGACGTCTTCACTGACTACATCTGCAAGTGCCCCGCAGGGTATGATGGGGTGCACTGCCAGAACAGTGAGTACAGCAGATTAGGGGGGGTTGGGAGAGGTTGCTCTGCTGTTAAGGGCTTGGGGACCCCCTGAGCAGCACTGAGGGGACAACTGGGGGCTGTTTGCAGCCATGGCTGCATTGGAGACTGGGCTCTGTTGGGATCTCTGAGCTGGTTTGGACCTTGCAGGGTGGGTGAAAGGACTGTGGGGACAGAGCAGTGTCTGAGCCTCGCTCTGCGTCTCTGGAGGGGACACGATGCCTCAAGTAAGGGGACAGAGAGTGCCTCGAGGTTCAGCCTGCTCCACACAAGCTCACAGCCTTGCTGTGGCTGCATATTCCAAAGCACCCATGTGGCTGCAGTAGGTGGGGACAAGGCTTAGGTGGCTCCTTGGGTTAGAGCTTCAACCTGTGCCACCGTATCGGTAGGAATGCTGCTGTGGTCCTTGCTCAGAGGATACTTCTCTCTTCTTATTGCCTCACTGAATGAAGGGTCTTCTCTCTGGGACTGGCTTTGGGGTCACCGCCTGAGCTCACTCTCTCTGTCTCCTAGGCAAGAACGAGTGCTACTCCCAGCCTTGCAAAAATGGAGGCACCTGCCTGGATCTGGATGGTGACTACACCTGCAAGTGTCCTTCTCCATTCTTGGGGAAGACCTGCAATGTCCGTAAGTCCCTGACACCAACTGTACAGAAATCCCTTTCCTCCCTATTCCCCACTGCTCCGTCCCTCATCACCAGAGTGCCCAGGAGAGATCTCACCAGATGATTTAGGGGATCTGGAAGGCAGCTGTGGATGACTGATGCTGGCTGCCCTTGGTGCCAACAAACCTGGTCCTGATGGAGGGAGCTTCCCTGGGAAGATGCAGTCTCCTCTCGAGGGGTGACCCAGAGCAGCCCTTTTTCCCCTCAGCCCTCCGTGCTCTGAGAGGGGCTGATGGACGCTGTTGTTTTGGTTGAAGGTTAGAGAGGGGGGGAACACCCGAGGGACAGGCGGGTCCCAGCACTGACCTCCGTTTCCTGCCCTGTCCCCAGACAAGAGGCAAATGACCCTCTGGTTTTGCCCCCTGGTCATGGTCTCTCTTTGGTACTGATGTCCTTGCTGCCCCCAGGCTGTGCTGTTCTCCTGGGCATGGAAGGAGGAGCCATCTCTGATGCTCAGCTCTCTGCATCCTCTGTCTACTATGGCTTCCTTGGCCTCCAGCGCTGGGGGCCAGAGCTTGCTCGCCTCAACAACCATGGCATTGTCAACGCCTGGACCTCCAGCAACTATGACAAGAGCCCCTGGATCCAGGTACTCATGGCAGGACTGGGAGCACTGGTGTAGTGGGCAGCCCTGGCTGGTCTTGTTGGGATTTCTCTGCTTCTGGTGGCAATGGCAGAGCTAAACTGCTGCAGCAAGGTGCCACCCAGGGGCAGAGAAGGAGATAAGGAGAAGTAGTTCAAGAAGGCAAAGACCCTGGGGGCGAGATGGGGACCTGGGATGGCAATTCCCCTCCTCTGCCTACCCTCAGATGCAAGGCTGAGGAAGTCACAGTGCTCTGGGCAGCCCCTTTTGCTGTGAGCCCACCCTCCCAGCCAGGCTCAGCAGTGCTGGTGGACGCAGGAGCTGTGCACCCCATCCGCGTTCACATTCTCCTCTCCCCCACCAGGCCAACCTGCTGCGGAAGATGCGGCTGAGCGGGATCATCACGCAAGGTGCTCGCCGCGTGGGCCAGTCGGAATACGTCCGCGCCTACAAAGTCGCCTACAGCCTGGACGGGCGGGAGTTCACCTTCTACAAAGACGAGAAGCAGGATGTAGACAAGGTGGGCTGCAATGCTCCACGCAGGGGCTGTGTGGGCTCCCCCCACCCAGCAGTGCTGCAAGCGCTGGGATGGCTGTGAGCTGCATCCCAAGCTGTTCCCATCTTTGGGAAAGTGCTTTGACCTGAGTCGAAGCCACATTGGGAACCGTCCTATCAGTGAGACAGCACAGGCCATTCCAGCGCCGGGCAGCACTCTCTGGCTCTGTTTAATTGACCATAATAAGCATAACCAAAGAAGCACTGCTGACTTATTTAGGTCATTCAGATAATATCTTTGTTGCTGACATGCTGTGGGAACTGGGCATGGTCTGGAAGTGCTTGTGAATGGCTTGCGCCACTCAGTGCTCTGTCTGCACCAAGCATGAGCTGACCCTGTGTCTCCCCCTCAGAGCAGGCATGCTCATTGATCGAAGCATTCTCAGTTTTTTATGGCAAGTGACTTCTGATCGTTTTCTTGAGCATCCAGGGAATGTATGAGAGTGTTTGCCTTACTTTAAAAAAGAGAAACATTTCCCTTGTGGTGGAAAAATTGAGTGAAAACACGACCTGATTCTATTTGTTGTGTTAAAAAGAAAGAAGCGAGTCACTTCCCTCCTTGTTGCAATTTGAGGAGTTGTGGTAGCAGGAGGGAGTGAGTTTCTCTGGGTCAAGGATGGAGCAGGGAGTGTTGTAAAGCTCTGTCGAGATTGTTGGAACTGCTGCAAGGTCACACGCTGTTCCAGGGCATGAAAACAGAGCCCAGCTTCCCCTGCTCTTGCCTTTGGCTGTGCCAAGGTCTGTCTGTCTGCTGGGCAAAGGGTTTCTCCCCAGGCTGTGGGAGAGCTGGGGCACTCAGCCCTGCTCGCTGTTGCAGGTTTTCCAGGGGAACGCGGACTACGGCAGCATGCAGACCAACATGTTGAACCCTCCCATCACTGCCCAGTTCATCCGCATCTACCCTGTGATGTGCCGCCGCGCCTGCACGCTGCG